ACGATCGCGTTTTACAGGAAGACTAAGAACTTTCTAGTTTATTCCCTTGTTTTGACCTCGCCATTTACGAATTCATATTTCTTAAGATGTTCAGATAAATCTACCATAGAAAAACATATCTGGTCTTCCATTTCTACCAGCACAAAAAATAACAAGTCGAATTCATATACTAGATATCCATACTAGCTTCTAATGATTGCATGTGCTTTCATGAGACCTGTACTTGGTTTTGGTTTGGTTTTCTTTTTAATGCCCACTATCATGATAATGATCATTCTGGCATACTCATTTTCACCTGAGTGAAGTGAGTAAAGTCGTGTACGGTGCCTTTCCCAAGGGCACAAGATCGGTGACAAAGTAGGGTTCGAACCCGGGACCTATAGTTCCGAGCTGAACACGCTACCGCTACGCCACACGACCCCACCTACTTAGTACACATCGTGGCAAATATATGTATGTACAATAAAGGTCTTCTACAATAAAGATCCTCAGTCAATAAAATGCAGAAGTAGCAAGAAAATATAACGTTATATTTCTAGTAAAACGTTTAACTTTATTCCAAGACACAATTTACAGAGAGATCAAATTTTCAGGTTATAGTTCGTCTGAAATGAACGGGTATTGAAACTGTTCATAATCTTTATTAATCTTTCTGCAAATTAATTCCCGAAAGTTGATTGCGAGTAATGATTTAACAACAGACATTCATCAACAGACAGAGAACATAGAACAAGGTATCTAATCTACGATGATAAGCTTAAATGCTTACATGCGATTCTGTTAGCCTCCATAGCATGCCAAAAACTGGGGGTTTTGGGGGTGGGGGGTGTCTTCGTGGTCTTTGGGAGCTTTTATGTGCTATTTTCTGATTGCATATAGACAACATAGCCGGCCTGGTTGAATTACCCCCGTTTTTAGAACTGGGCTAGTCAGAAAACAGCCGAAGACCACCAAACCCCAGTTCTATAAGCCTGCTACGGAGGCTACGATTCTGTCTATTTCATGAAATATTAACTCGGAAGAGGTCAACCACTCCTAAGCCTCGGCCGCATACATCGTGTGACGCACCGATGTCGCGTAATACGCGCGTCATTGGTTTCATAATTACGTATTTTTGCGTGTTTTCAGACGCTTTTATCGGGCTCTCTTTTTTGAACTGGGGTGTCATTTTTACTCCAGCCTTCGAGTGGCAAATTGTAACTGCGAGTAATGACTTAACAACATACATTCATCAACAGACAGAGAACATAGAACAAGGCGTCTAATCTATGGTGATAAGTGAATGTAAATGCACATACACGATTCTGTCTATTTCATTAAATATACCTCGCAGCATATAACATAAGCCTCGGCCTCGGCCACATACATGTACATCATGTACATCATGTGATGCAGCTACAACGCGTTATGCGCGTCATTGGTTTCAGAATAAGTATTTTTTCGTGTTTTCAGGCGCTTTTATCTGGCTCTCTCTTTTTTGTACTGGGTTATCATATTCTATGCCATCCTTCGCTTGGCGAATTGTAACGTCCTGGCAAACGCATCCTGCCTGCAGCTGGCCAATTTGATACTGTCTTTAAAGGGACCAATTATATCTGCCTGGAGATTAGGAATCCGGTGTAATAGTTAGATAGATCTAAACTCTTGCACCCGTTTCTTCTTATGATCAAATCTACGACGGAAAACCCTCTATCGTAGCCTATAGTACATGTGGGTATCCTCTACCAGGCTTCGGGAGGCAGCAGGAAAGAATAGAAATCGGCCAATTGCAAATAGAGAGATAACATGCAAGGGGAGTTTGTCTGCTGGGTGCGGCAAAATGTTCTCTTCCGGCAGACAAACTCCCTCGGCATGTTATCTCTCTATTTGTCCGATTTCTACTCTTTCCAGTCGCCTCCCGAAGCCTGGTAGAGGCTAACTAGTAGGCCATGGCCGGCTGTAGACTCCGAAGAGTATTGAACTCCTCACATTGCCGCCAAACATCTTTTACCATCTACTCTCCCTATCTCATCAATTTCTACCATTTTTCAGCCCGCAAAAGGGTCTGGTAGAGGAGACGATGAACAGTATAACCTGTACAAGTGACCAACATAAGGACTACCTGACCAATGTGACCAGTTTTAGGCTTAGCTAGGTGCGTCGCACGAAGTATCTGCGACCGGGGCTTCGATTGATCGATACAGTGGAAGCCGTGAACACCCGCTTCTTCTTATGGTCAAATCTGCGCCGGAAAACCCTCATTCTTATACAGTAGGTGCGTCGCACGGAATGTGTGACCAGGGCTTGATCTATATATATTATATAAATCTCCAAGCAGATCCCTTTCGGTGGCAAAAAGTTAGTATCAAATTGGCCAGGCAGTATCCATTGGCCAGAGAAGGTCGCCGGCCATCGACGGCGGGGGTACCGACAAAAAAAGGACATATATAAAAAGCTAACGATCATTCCCCCACAACCTCTGCTTGGAGAGTAGGCTTGATCATTTGATCGATACAGTGGACGCCGTTACACACTCACTCTTCACAAATCCCTTTAATGACGGAGCTGACCCACACCGGGGCCGTAACGCGTTTATGGGTCGTAAAGATATTGATCACACCGTCTAAGAAGCCAATGGGTAATTCGAGATGCCAGCGGCGACAAACTGGTTACTTCTTCACACCAAGGAGCTTTATAATTTGAAGCTTCTTGTTTTATACGCTTCTTATACTTCTGAGAAAGTGAAGGACGACGCGACAGGTCCCAAGACGATCGCGATTTGCTTTAAACAACTCCTGCAATAAAATGTGCAAGAATTGAGTGTAACAATTAAGCAAGTCGTTCGGTGTGATATAGCTAGCTGCCGCCGCGCCGCGTGCCTGCGAAGCTGGTGTGTTATGCCGAAGGGCGGTTATACCGGCTATACAGATACAGATACAGATACAGATTGATTTTGTCGCTTGTTAGGGATCCTTGAAGTAAATATGATGAGAAAAGCGTGTATTGAATCGCCGAGCCAACACCGAAGAATGCACTCATTATACTAATTTTCTACCGGCCTCATTGAATATCTGATTAGTCGTTATCATAATATGACGAGCTTTCTTTCCAGTACAAGAGGGGCATTACTGCTACCGCATTGCAAAGCAATACTAGTATCATTCTGTTCAGTATACAGCCAAACCTACCCAAGCGAACACCTCTGTAAGTCGAGCACTTGGCCTTAAATGATGACACAGTTTGTGAATTGATTGAAAAAATAGAGTGTACATTAAGTAAAGACGTTGATGTGATTTTTTTCATGTCCGAAAACATGAAAAAAGACAGGGAAGGTGACAGACGGTCACCGAAACGTCGGCTGTGAATAAAACACTAAGAAAAAGTATAAGAAAAGAGTCTCTTTACTCAGTAACGTACCAACATACCGGTACAGAATTGATTATCACTGAGGAAAAAAACAGTATTGTAAATCCGATTACTCATTCTTGTTAACACGTGAGCGATGGTCTATGGGGAGGCTTCAAATATCCACACATAATTTGGGGCGAAATGATTTGTCCATTACTAAAACATGGGGGAGCGCACACGTGTCACACCGAGTCAATACACCATTTCCTCACAGGTATTTAGATAATGTGGCCTTCTTAGGCCCACTTTACACTTGCACATTGAAACTGTCGTACTACACATCGTAGTCTACTTCTGTAGTAGACTACAGATTAGCGCCCACTTTACACTTACTGAAAGAAAGTCTCGCAGGACCCCTGCTGTTCCCTGATTGCCATGGAACTGTAGTGACCTAATCTGACCTATAGTGACCTTTGACACATCGCGGGTGGATTTTTAGCACGGCTGTGATATGCTGGCATCCTTGCATATGGTGTAAACTTGTAAATGACCGTAGATAACCCAATGACCCAAATAGAATAGAACACACGTTCGGATCGAATTACGTCGGATCGAACAGGATCGAAAACTTTATGATTGCATCACTTTCATCCTTTCTGTGGTTCCAAAAGACCACAATGGCAGGAGAGGCAGAAGCTCTTATGCTCTTTTTCTTGTTCATGATCAAAGTCTTTATGAACCAAAGGCGCCAAGAACGTGTGCAGCGTAGGAGGAGGCTGAGGCGGATTGTCAGGGAGAGGGGGAGACGCGTACTAGGACGCAACCCTGCAATCTTTGCCCTGACCTGTAGTCGCCTTCGAAGTGTAGTCTGCTACAGTTTCGCTTTACACTCAGCTCAAAGTCTCGTAGAACCTCCGCTGAAGTGTAGTACTACAGCCTCGGAGGGTGTAGTGGACTTCTGTAGTAGACTACAATTCTTTTCTCCTTTACACCCAGAAAAAAGCTGTAGTCTACTACAGAAGTAGACTACGATGTGTAGTACTACAGTTTAAAAAGCAAGTGTAAAGTGGGCCTTAGCTTCAATTACTTTTACGATGGTTTACCATATATACGGACTATAGTTCCCAGAAACTGCTTCCTATGGCTAGTTAGCCTCTACCAGGCTTCGGGAGGCGTCTGGAAAGAGTAGAAATCGGCCAAATAGAGAGATAGCATGCCAAGGGAGTTTGTAATCTGCTGGGAGAGAACATTTTTATCCGGTGCGGCAAAATGTTCTCTCGCAGCAGACCAAACTCCCTTGGCATGTTATCTCTCTATTTGGCCGATTTCTACTCTTTCCAGCCGACTCCCCAAGCCTGGTAGAGGCTAATGGCTAGCAGCTACTCGTCTTTGCGTCGATCGTAACACTACACCGCGCAGTCCGTCAGTGATGTCATTTCCTTTCTTTGGACGACGTGGAGAGGAAGTTGTTTAGAGAGAGAGAGAAGGGACGATAATTCCTGGCAGTGTTTCGTCATTAATATCCCGCAGCAAAGTGCCTCCTTGTCGAGTCACTGCTTCCATACACCAGGAGAGAACCGCCCACACCGCCAAAGCGCTATAAAACCAGCCCGCGCAGACGTCGTCGTCACAAGCCGGCACAGCGAGGGAAAACCGTGACACGAGAAGAGAAGAGAACCTGGCTGACGATTCTACCACAGACGATCAAGTGCATCTACCTGCAAGCGTCAAGTTCAAGGTAAGGTCTTGTGTTCTGTTCTGTCAAACCAGGTAGAGTCGTTTACTGTCGTTTTGTGTGTCCTTACCTAAGGGTCAACTACTAATGTCTAGAGTTAGATGTTCAAGGGTTAGGTGTAACAAGTCGATCGGTGTAATGTAGCCAGCTGCCGATCAAGTGCATCTACCTACAAGCGTCAAGTTCAAGGTAAGTGTAACAGTGGGGGGTTCATAGGCCCTACCAACTGACCCGTCCGATGGGTCTGTACCTTTTAGCCGAGTGGTTTGAGCGTCAGGGTCTGAAGCTGGTGCTCGGGAGGTCGTGGGTTCGAACCCCGACCCGGGACCAGGGGCTTCTTTGTTTTATAAGGTCTTGTATTCTGTTCCGTCAAACCAGGTAGAGTCGTTGACTCTCGTTTTGTGTTCCCTCACCTAAGGATTAACTACTATAGTGTAGTCAATTGCTATTTTTGATTGGTTAGCCCACCTCAAGGAAAGGTATTGCGTCCAGAACCGCGCTCTATCCAGAACCGTATGGTCCGCGCGTATCCAGAACCGCACTGAGTGTCCCGAGGCAAAATCTACGTTCTCGGATGCTCGGAGACTATCCAGAACCGTGCCTGATCCTAACCCTTACCCTTTCAGGCATAGAACTAGATAGATGCACGGTCTTGGACAAGATTTCCTCTACCATGTTCTACTACGTTATGGGTAGTACAATTCGACAACAATCTGGTCAGAAATTGGCCAGGGGACTTCGCCGCCCATAAGGGTATTAAAGGCCCCTTCACACTTATTCCAAATTAGCATAAGTCAGGCAGAACCAGGCGGGATGAAGAATTGGCAAAATTGCGCCACAGTTAACTAGTTATATATCTTCAAAGATACTACGCGGTACAATACAACAATAGGGAACAGACAACTACTGTCTGGAAAAACTTAATAATATACTTCTACTACTTCGCTTAATTATGAGGTTTGACTTCTTTGAAGGCAGTAGATAATGAATAGTCCCACGTTCTGCATAATGGATTTTGTGATCTTAGTAGAAACACAGTCTTTTGGTGATCTTCTAGATGATGAAAGGATGGATAAATTGTGGCAACTGTTTGAAATAATCTGTTTATATTCCCTAGAGCTTCGCATTCAAGCCGGAGTGAGCCGGAATGCCGTCTGAATGAAAATTCCTTGTATACTCCTATCCTCTCTATTCGAAATGCATTCTTAAAAAAATTGGGGTGTATTCCAAATACTCAAGCCCATTCCGGTTTTCCCTTGAATGCAATCGGTATGTCTTGAACGCTGTTAGAATGCCGTTTGAATATCTATTCAGAATGCAGTCATAATGTACTAGTAGCTAAAATACACTTTGAGTGCCCTTTGATATTTTTCTGCCTCCAATTTATCTGGACTGGCGCGGTTATATTCGTCGTTGACCGTCGTACGAATTTGATGCGGTAGAATTCTCAAACAGCTGGTGACAGAACCAAGGACCGCCTAGCCTCTACCAGGCTGCGGGAACGCCCCCCCCCCCACCCCTAAGCGGCAAACTGTTCTCTAAACGTGGACTAATTCCCCTGGGATATAATCTGTCTATTTGGCCCATTTCTACTCTTCCAGCCGCTTCCCGAAGCCTGGTAGAGGCTACCGACAACCGACAAAGACCTAAAGCGCCATTTTAATAACCTGCCTTAATAAGACAGCTGAACTTTGCAGGCCATGATTTATGAATGACTTCATCAGATCCTAGGGTGGCAAAAAGACAGTATCAAATTGGCCAGCAGTATCCATTGGCCAGAGAGGGTCCATGCGCGACCCAAGGTGTTGCTGGGGATAGCGACAAAAAACGGACCATAAAAAAAGGTAACGATCTTCCCCCATCAACTTCTGCTTGGAGAGTAGCATGGCTATCCCAAGAATTCCCCCAGTTTGCCATCCCTCGGTTAGTACAGATGACCTTTAATTATAACAAACCTGATTTTACGATAAGCCGAAAATGTATGTGCCACTTACCACTGATGCAGAATGCAATAAGAAAAAGTGACAAAATATGCCTTAAATAATCACCGCATTTAGTTTGGTAAATGGGGTAAGGAGACAAAGCAATTTTCTTTAGTATCTTAGCAAGGCAAATTCTGCATAATTCTGTCTAGTTTGCGATAAGTCATGGTTATATATTGCAAAGTACAACGATGCAAAACTGCTTCAAGCCAACAGAGAGGTAGGTCTGATTGCAGGTTAATGATAGTACAATATGTTTTCAGCTGTCATATTTGTATGCATAGCTAGGCGCGCGTAACTCCATTACTACGCCCCCAGATAGAACGCTTATCGTCCAAACGCAAAATGGATCGAGGTTTTGTTTTACATTCATGATGGTATCTGTGATAGATAAGTACGTGTAGATGTGATGTAACAGGCGTCCACAAAACGCTTTCAAAACCGACGGATTTTTGTAATTCTGATACTAAGCTATTTATCAAATCAAATCACGTTATTGCTCATTCCTTTCCCAAATGTACATCAGCAGGGGGAAGCACAACTGCACCCCCTGAATCGGGTACAATTTGGCACAGTTTTACTCATCAATATTAACAAACAGTACATCTAAATATATATTAAAAAATCTAAATATATACAGTACATCAAATTATATACAAAGAAACATACAAAGTTACTAAAATATATACAATGTTGCTTCGGGTCAAGTTATGCATTGTCGCTGTGCACATTTTGTTTGTTTGTTTGTTTGTTTGTTTGTTTGTTTGTTTGTTTTCCTTCCACCCGTGATTATTCCGTAGGTATCGCAAGCGTTAGACATTCACCACCTAATGCTGAGGTCACATTTCCAAACCGGGGCCCTCCCGGGCAGTCTTATGGAACGAAAGGTATGGTATAAAAGACAACAAAGCACATTAAAGTTTTTAAAAATCTATAATGGGTACTATTTGCATATATCATTGACATAAACTGTTCATGTTTCGTCAATGGAAACAGCCCGGCCGGGCCCCGGTTTGGAAATGTGACCTCAGCATTACTGATATCAGTTATTACACTGTGTCATTGAACCGGTAATCAAATACATGTTTTGCACATCTCAAAAAACTGTTTGTTGCCAAACTTCCGTGCCTTTGAAAGCTCCATCATACAAATTTTCCGGATCATGAGAGTGGGGTTTCAGACGGCGTGGACGTAACAAGTGATAACCAGTTGTTTGAAGCACCTGTGGATTCAGAAGTCTCCAGCGCGCAGTAACAAAAGATCCCAACTCTGCAAAGACCTGTCGATGAAGATTAGACATCCAGGTAATACGATACGCCAAAAAACTGTTATTCAAGCAACAGTTACGCAAGTAACTGCATTTCCGAAATCATATCCAGTTGCTTGAGTAACTGTTTTTTGGCGTATCTGCAAAGAGCTGATTGCCATTCGATCTCATGGCGCCGGATACAGAAATCGAAAACACAACCTTTTTTCTTCGCCCCCAGGCGACACCGCGTTGCTACGCCCCGAAGCACCGAGGCTAATTACGAGAGCAAGATAGGATGACAGCCGGTCCCTTTAATCTAACCACATAATGACATCTCTCCGTGGGTAGAGTTTTCAGACAAACACGTGGCTCTTTCTGATCTTGACGCAAATTGCCTCTGCGTCGTGTTCTCGCTTGAAGTAAGGTCCACTTGTAGAGTCTCGTATTCACTCGCATATATGTATGTGATAATAGACACTTTTTTTACTGATATATCTATATGCGTGGGTTGTTTCTTCAGATCTTGAGCTCTATCCATGCATAACTACACGTTTAACTTTTTGTACGTTGCTAAGATGGATAATGTTTAGAGTTGGTTAGAAAGTTCCAGTGCTATCTGTTAAATGTGTGGCGTGGTCACCAATGTTATTTGGTAGGTGGGTAGGTCTTCGTGAGTCCTCGAAATGATTAGTTTTGGGGCCTCCTGGTGGCTTGTTTTGGTACTTCACCGGAAATATCTCGTGATCTAACCATGCTAGTGTCACGAATTTTGCATGGTAGATAGTCCTTGTACTCGGGGAGAAGTGACGTGAGTACGTGAGTGTGGGGTAGATCTTAGCAGTTTCCTCTGGTATTACCGCAGGCGTTTGAATCTTTGAAAGAAGATAACGTGCGCCTATGACTCCGGTCGGTTTACAAGGAGAAGAAGAACTCTATTGCACAACAGATATAACAACGGGTACATCGTATGGCAAAATATACATAGATAGAAAGTTTATAGAAAGTTTATTGCAAATACTTTCCCGAGGGCTAATTGCAGTTACAAACAACATTTAAAAAAAAAGAAAATACAGTGCCAGTGGTATGTGAGACTATATCTACGTCTAGCATTATACTATATTCTACAACATACATGGTACTAGTTTTACTGGGTTTGACCAACCCTGGGGTTTGACTTCTTCTTTTTAGGCAATGGAAGACGAATTTACCCACTTCTTCTATAATATGTGGGTTCTTTGATTTTAGTAGTAAAATTGTTTTAGTAGTAAAATTGTTTTACATAGTTGGCGATGCTTACAATATCTAACAGTTCTAAGAGGTGACAGTTCTAAATGTTCTACATGAGGCTGGGTTATGTGGGCTTTTTTACACGCACAAAGACCGTGAAGTACGACACGCGACGTACGTCGGCCATCTTGGACAGAAAATTTGCCCTTTGTAAATCGTGCCTTTGTAATTAGAACCACTTGGCAACGAATATTTTCCTGACGACACACGTCAGTATGTTACGTTGCCAGCTTGTCTTGCCCGTGGCAACAGCCTACAAGAGTCTCACTGACGCAGAATTCAACCCACCACGGTCAGGCGTAGCTGCAGCTTCGTTCTTGCTATCTACAACCCTGTCCACAGCTTGGGAATCTTACAGCAACAACCTGTCTCTATCAAACGACCAAATGATGCGGTAGAATTTCCAAGCAGACTTTGAGAGAACCAACGACCGCCTTGCCTCAGGCTTCAGGAAGCGGCAAGCTGTTCTCTTAGCGCGGACCAACTCCCCTGGCATATAATTTGTCTATTTGTCTATCTAATCTCACAACAACCTGCCTAAGACGACCAAAATCGGCATCGGGAAGCGACTCAGGAAGAGGCAAACTGTTCTCTTAGTGCGGACCAACTCTCCTGGCATATAATTTGCCAATTTGTCTATCTAATCTCACAACAACCTGCCTAAGACGACCAAAATCGGCCCCAGCATGTTCAACAACACCTCCGTCCCGTGGATGCCCCCCGACCAGACGTCTGCTCCCGAGTTTGCACGATTGATAGCCTGCTACAGGTGGCACCTACAGAACAACTCTGCGTCCGTCGCACAAGCCCACGAAGCCTGCTCGGCGCACGAGGGCCTGGTGAGATTGGGGGCAGGGATTGAAGTCGTCTTCTGGCTGATGGGGATTCTCATCCTCATCGGTAACGCCGTTGTGCTTCTGGGGATCATCGCAACAAGACAACTCCGCCACAGGCCCATCTACATCTACCTGGCAAATCTGGCAGTCACAGATGTGTTCGCGGGCGTCGGACTTCTGTACCGCGCAGTAGGCCAGTTAGGACACAGTGTGATGTATGGCGTTATTTCGACTCACATCAACTTAATCACATTTTCTCAACTGACCTCAGCGTCAGCTTTGTCCCTAATGTCTGTTAACTCCTATGTTGCTGTAAAGCACCCTGCATACTTCCACATCCACGCTGGCAGTGCCAAATTGCGCGCAGTTGTAGCTTTGATTGTTTCTTGGGCTGTTTTCTCCTTTCTGGCATTCTCACCCAGTATGGGCTGGAATTGTCTCCAAATGCAGACCTTAACCACCGGTGTCTGTATCTCATGGTACCCCCTGGCCTTTGTCGTCATCTGTGCATCCATACTGCTCTTACTGTGCATAGTCATGATGTTCACGAACGTAAGTGTGTACGTAGCAATCAGGGAACGAGAAAAGAGAAGACTAGAACAGGCAGCAGGGCTCCAGGCAGCAGGACAGAACGGCCCTGGGCAAAACTTGAACGCTGCGCAACAGGAGGCGCAGAGAAAGTATGAAGAAAGGGTGTACAAGGCTAGGACTGTGATGATCCATGTAGTCGTGGCATTTGTCTGCTGGCTGTTGCCGCTCTTGTTCTTCGCAGTTTGCAAAGTTCTCCCAGACATTTGCCCCAGGTACGGAGTGTGAACTCACTCATCAACCCCACAGCAACACTCATCCGCACACCGGACTTGAGGAACGCAATCTGGCAAAAACTGACAGGCGTCCATCAGACACTTGTCAGGGTGATACGGGGGAGCCGCACGGACCTACAGGAAGACCAGGCTGGAACAGGAGACGTCCCAACTCTACAGGACGGTCCTGGACATGGAGAGGGACAAGACACACCACGTCTCGCTCCAGATGAACAGTCTACGGTTGAAGGCCATGCACGTGGAGAGGTACAAGACACACCACGTCTGTCTCCAGATGAACAGTCTGCCGTAGGAAACCGTCAGGAAGGTCCCGCACGTGGGGAGGGACAAAACACACCACGTCTGGCTCCAAATGAACAGTCTGCCGTAGGAAACCGTCAGGAAGACCCTGCACGTAGAGAGGGACAAAACACACCACGTCTGGCTCCAGATGAACAGTCTACGGTGAAGAACCGTCACTGTCAGACTCATACTTACCAAAGGACGCCAGGACCCTACAAGACTCCAATAGGCACAGCGGGAGTCCTGCCAACAATTACAATTGTGGAGATAGACTGAACTCTATATGAAACATGATTCAGAACCTTTTCACAGAAAACACGTGTGGAAGCAATATGCTAGATGTACACTATTATGGGCAATAATATCAAGTACATTTTGAATTTGATGATTTAACCACAATGATAACAATGAAAATAAGATATAATTGTCTTCTAAGTAAGCAGCTTGTTATACATAATGTCACACTGTGTTGTGCTGGAAGAAGGAAAGAACAAGGAGTTAAAGTAGATACTGAGAAATGTGCATAGTGTAAATAGTAGTCTTAGAGATGCATTTTGTAGTACACTCTTTGTGCCTAACTATTTTTGTATATAATACGTTACAATGATGCTATTTGCATTTGTGAAACATTAAAGATAGTGGGATATGAAATTTGAAAAAGCCTCAGACTCCTAGAGTTCATCGCAATATCATTCATTACATCTCACTCCATACCATGGTGTAAATTTTGAACTTTTAATCAACCCAATGCATTGATAGATGAAAAAGCTGCAACAAGTAGGAAGAAAAGGACTTTACTCAATTGTTGGTGGCAAAATATGAGCAATTTTTTAGTTGATTCAGAACCAGAATCTTTTTTTTTTTTTGCAAATCAGAAAAAAATGAAGAGGCGAATCCGAGAACCAACAAATCAAATTGGTGTGGCCTTAGATAACGATTTGAGACCGGGTTAGAAAGTTCCAACCATCAACCGTGTCATCGCCAGACACTTGTATTGTATTTATTTAATTTGCTCCTGGGGTGTTTAAGTTTATCTCTTGTGATTTCACTACAAAAAGGCCTCCCTTGTCCTGAAGGTGTCGTTAATATTGATTGGGGAACGGATCTGAACCTTAAGTTTACTGTTTACAGTTCGTTAGATACAAAGAAGACCAACCATATCATCCATTACGATTCATTGTCACCGTTAAAGGCGACAATAGAGGCATTATTCCGGTGTAGGTTACCCCCAGTAGCGGTAGTCTTTCATTCTTACCGCTCTCCTCTTTCGCACAAAAAGTAGTAAATTCAAATTAGATGGCGATAGAAATAACGTGTTCTTATAGGGACATGGAATCGTTAGGTCCTTTTACAACCTAGATTTAGAGAATAGAAGAGATGGCTTAACGCGATACGGACACTTGGTTTGGAAGCCGTGAATAGTTTCATCAGATTGGTAAGACACTGAGTAAAGAGACTCTTTTTTACACAACCAAGTCTTTTATTCAGCCGACGTTTCGGTGACCGTCTGTCGCCTTCCTCATCGAAACTTCGGCTGAATAAAAGACATGGTGTGTAAAAAGAGTCTCTTTACTCATTGGTTTGGAAGAGATTCAAGTCGAATCAAAGTAGTGACGAGGGGGCTATAGCCAATCCAGATCAATTCAGTTGTACAATCCAGGTCATTTGAGGAAATATCTTTACAGGCACATTATACATTGCCTTTTGTTGTGTCATCGAATGCGTCCCTTGTCATTTTTCTGTAATTTCCAAGCATATGCTTTCAGTAGAATCAAGAGAGTAGCTAATAGACAGTATCGAATAGGTCAGGAAGTATCCAGTATCCGTACAGGGACCAATTTGATAGTGGCTGGCTATTTTGACACTACCTGTCTTATTGGACAATTAATGTCTATTAGTCTATTAGATCGTACCCTCACGATCCAAGCGCAAAAAGCATATGCTTTCAGTAGAATCAACGGAGTAGGTACGAGTAATAGACAGTATCGAATAGGTCAGGTAGTATCCAGTATCCGTACAGGGACCAATTTGATAGTGCCTGGCTATTTTTACACTGGCTGGCACTATTGGACAATCAATGTCTATTAGATACTCC